ACATTATTGGTGAATCAACCTTTAATTACAAAATGTGATCTGGCATACCTGGTGTTTTAAGAGAATTTAGAAATTTAGTTGGGTAATTTACAGCATCAGCTGTAACTGAAACACTGACAATTAAGCTGTAGGTGAATTCCTGTCCGGGAACTTTTTGCATTCTGCAATAATTGGTCATTTATGTCATGAACAGTATCATTTTGAGGTACAAGAATTGCTCTTTTACACAACCATAAATAAGTTTAACAAATATTAAATATTTGTTAAACTTATTTATGGTTGTGTAAAAGAGCAATTCTTGTACCTCAAGAGCTAAAGGATGAGATGTTCTCCAGAGAACACCTTATCATTTAGCTCTTGTGCATCCTGAACTAAATTACCACATTTGTGTGGAACAGTAATGTAGTTTTTTTGGTTGATTGATTGGAAACTTTCCAACACTAACTTAAGAAGTTTCTGAATTAAACCGTCTGCTATTATATCACCGAAGTTATTAAAAACAGAGAAATAAAAATAAATCACAAATTAACATGTACATTACGCGTACAACATAAGCAAGATTTGCCTAACAATAATATTGTGATAATTGTGTTCCTGACCGACGATATATATTGTTGAGTAATTAAAAAAATGAGTGTGACACGAAGACAGAAACTAAATTAAAAGCCAAAGTATAGTTTTTGTGGGAAACCTGATGGAATTTTCCCCCTTCATGTTACTTCCGGGGATCATAGGAGTCACCATGCTAAGTTTGGTGGTGATTGGTCAAATAGTGTTCGAGGAATCAGTAGTCAGACAAACATAGAATTTCGCTTTAATACGTATATAGATACACTCATACATCTAACAAAAACGGGATGTATTTGATTAATTTTAATTGCTAATATAAATAAAGAGCTGTTAGGTATACACGACTGCTTCATTTAAATTTAATACGAGAATTATGTTTTAGATAGTTATAAAGAGTGAATTTTCAATTTAGTATTTTTAGAATCAATAGTTATGGCAAGTTTGCATACGTAACTGTTTACGAATCGTGTGTTGCGTAGTAAAACAGTTGTGATTTGATGTCATGTTACTCGAATCTTTGGAATTTTTCTCGTTGCTTTAAAGTTGTAAATACAACTGTGATAACCAATAGTGTTGACTTGTTTGGAATATATTCTTTTAAAACAAGTGGACTATGTACTGTCCATTTATTGTTGAAATTTGTCGTCAACAAGTCACAGACACCTACTTAAAGAATCGCGGCCCACATAAAAACCTGACAGTAACAAGTAAACAAATACATGAGACATTTTATATACAAATTGTACGATATTAAGAACGAGGTCTTAGGAACAACATAGATACATACTATTTTTCTAGACCCTAAAACATCGAAAAAAAGTATTAAAGTTTCATTTAGAGCGTCCATGTTGTTTTACCTATAAGTGCGCTTCGTCTACCGTGGGTAATCTAGCCTCGATTTTCAGTATTGTAAGTTCATAACCGTATCGTTGATCAGAATACTCTGTTATTCGATACGTAATGTTTGAATATATTCCAATATCAAGCCTGAGTTTATTTATCAGATATATTACAATGTGAATTTCAACATCAAAACGTTTAAATGTTCCTTTCCTACCGTTCTTACATCGAAATTTCTTGCACAAACCTGATGATATACTAACACATTATATCATCTGACCTCACAAAATAGCTAAGGTTGAACTTATCATTACATACTCCTTTTTTTTATTCGGTTAAAACCCACTTTTATGCGCCAAACTTTGGAGCACATTTCCAAAGTTGTATGATTGTATATATTCCAATAAATCACATCAAGAGCTAATAAAAGGCTTCAGTAATATTACTCATAAATCTCAGTACAAATGTTCGCGCTAATAAAATAACTGCTATAAATCTGATTTCAATGATGTTGGTTGGTAATACCTACCCATTTAGGGTCTTATCTAGATTCACTATATCCAGTTCAGAAGAAAAGGCGGAACATTTGTCCAAGTCCGAGGTGTTCCCATAGCTATTCTAAATGCTGGGTTGTCACTATTTTCATGTATTTGAACGGATCTAAATAATAACATTTTTTATAAATCAAAAGCAATAATCAGTCAAAAAGTAGTAACATTCTTCTTCTTCTTCTTGGGAATGCAAATGATATAGTAAAAGAGGAGTACGTAGAAATATGGGTACACTAACTTGTACCCATTAATCTCAGCTAGAGAGTACAGCTGGTTTCAACACTCTAGGATGTATTGAAGTTATTTCATACTAATAAAATGTATCTTCTTCTCAACACCTTGTAAAATTAAAGTTGATAAAAGATCTGGCCTAAAGATGGTAGCACTATCTATTCAACAATACCTTTTATTTTTACATAGTTCTTTGATTAACTTAAAATATGCACATTAAATATCATTATAATTTACGCCATTATGAGATAAGATAAGTTAAGTATTTTTTCATCCTTCATATCATCTAATAAGTCCATAATTTGCTTAAAGTTTTCAGTACAAAAATAATAAATACAATATAATTAAAATGTAAAAAACAGCCAGGTTAGCGTAAAGGAACCCGCTATATAAAGTTGCGAAATAGTCAAGCTTTCTAAGCATTTAATTTACAAAAATAGCCAATCTGCATAAAGATGTACAAATACATAAATATCCAATGATAGAAACGCTAACTACAGAATTGAGGGGAAAAAAGAGAATTGTACTTTACAAGCATTTCATTTATTACAACCCTGGTTTCACCAGTAAAACTTTCGCCTCTACGAGCGAAAACATGAAATGTTTGCGAAACGTACAGGTGTCTTTGTTTTCCTCAATTCTGTAATTATGGAGTACCACCGACGATTTGAAGTATTAATCAGAACGGTTAAGTTAAATAAGACACAAATGTGCTAAACTTGGCTCCTCCTTTTTTATTCATATTACCATAAATTTCCTGGCAGTACTGTGATTATTGTGAACGGTACGACAAGGTTAAGTGTTGGATACTGTGATTATTGTGAACGGTACGACAAGGTTAAGTGTTGGATACTGTGATTATTGTGAACGGTACGACAAGGTTAAGTGTTGGATACTGTGATTATTGTGAACGGTACGACAAGGTTAAGTGTTCACAGTATCCAACACTTAACCTTGTCGTACTGTTCACAATAATCACAGTATCCAACACTTAACCTTGTCGTACTGTTCACAATAATGGAATTTTACTCAGTCTCTCTTGAATATATAACATCCACTGCTGTGGATATAACATCCTACTGTGATTATTGTGAACAGTACGACAAGGTTAAGTGTTGGAATTTTACTCAGTCTCTCTTGAATATATAACATCCACTGCTGTGGATATAACATCATACTGTGATTATTGTGAACAGTACGACAAGGTTAAGTGTTGGAATTTTACTCAGTCTCTCTTGAATATATAACCTCCACTGCTGTGGATATAACATCCTACTGTGATTATTGTGAACAGTACGACAAGGTTAAGTGTTATATAACCTCCACTGCGGGGTTTAATCCATACATTCGAATACTGTGTATATTATTTCACTATGCTACAAAATTAAGTTTGATATATTAAAGCAACTTCGTTAAGCAACGTTTTACTGTATCATGAAGTGAAGTCGAGCTAATTCAGTAAACAATATTTTAATATCAGTTACGACACTGTAGCAGTTTCATCAAAGTAATGTTTTCGATACCGAGTCTCACATTTAATTTACTTCAAATGTAGCACAATATGAAGAAGTTCTGAACTAGCTTATCAGAGATATTATAGTATGAAATCCAACGCTGACTGAGTTCAAGTATATAACATTATAATATATGTATGTAAAATATTAACATTTTTTTAATTAAAATATTATATTTTGAAATCTAACGTATGGGTACTTTATCAAGTAATATTGTAGTGTTAAGTGTAACTTTGAGCTTTTCTCGCTTAAAACATTACAGATAAGTTATCGAATTATGTCAAAGGTGAAATCTATAATTTGAGCTATGTTCATTCAACTTATATTATAATGTGAAATCCAACATATGGCCTTGTTCATTAAGTAATAATACAAAGTGAAGTCAGTTAATAAAACAATATAAATTATTAATATTTATTTCAAATATTTCATGTCAAATGGTACAATAATCCACACCAAAATATATACATACATTAATAACATGACTCTGTGGCTGACCAGTGTCGTACTAATATTTTAAACGTTTATAATAAATACTGCCAAGATTGATTCATTTTCAATACACATTAAGTGAAAACACTTCGGGTTTGATAGGTTTAATAACATTTAGTATATAATGGATTGATTATTTGTATCTTCAACTGCCCACAAAGAAACAATATATCAGGTTCATGCTAAATACATTTACTGTTATCTCTTTATTACTACTTAGACAATAGTATCATGGTCTGCCAACAAAGTAACAATATATCAGGTTCATGCTAAATACATTTACTGCTATCTCTTTATTACTACGTAGACAATAGTATCATAATCTGCCAACAAAGTAACAATATATCAGGTTCATGCTAAATACATTTACCATTGTCGCCTTATTACTACTTAAACAATTGTTCAGTTCCAGTAATACTTAGTGTGAAGTTTGATCAATAAAGGAGTTATGTTTTTTTAAGACCCTCCTCAAAATATATCTGGTTTCTCATCTCCTGTCGCAGAGATACCATTTAGGTAATTAACTCTGCTTCTTTTGACCTTCCAAGAATATAAGGATTCGTATTATACACACACACACTATTTACTCTATTGTAGTTTGGCAGTCTTCAACCAATATTTAATAGATGTACTTTTTATAAATACGCGCTGGCCTCCTTCTACTACATTTTACAAAATATGAAAAATTTATAAAATTCTTGGTAATAACCCCCAGTAATTTTTACAAAAGCTAATTTGAAATCAATCAAAATTGGAATAATTATTATATCCACAACTTTTAGAACCGTTTAAGATATATTGGTAAGAATTTCATCAAAAAAATATAAATTTTGGTTTATATGGTATTTTACGTACTTTTCAATAAAACCAGATTAGAAGCCTTTTGAGCTTGTTTTACTAAACGTACTACTAATTAAACGCGTATTCTGGATTTAGTCGATCTGCTGTTTGTTGAATTTTTAAGCCGGCGGAACATAAAAATATCTAATGGATATATTTTTTCTTAACTTTGAACTACTGACCAGAGGGAACGCTTCAAACCAGCAGCACTCATCGTACAAAAAAAGGAATGATTGTAACACTTATAACGCAGCCATAGCTTAAAGTACAGAAATACTTTGTAAATTGTGCGAACTTTAGCCTAGCTCGCAATCTCCGAAATCCAGAGCTTTACCACAGGGCCTATCAGCGCTCTTATAATATTCATAAAGAATGTATTGCGTAGAACATAGATTTATTCAACCCAAAGTGACTAAAATGATAATCCAGTTGTGCTTATTTTGGGAGTGAAAATATATTAAATCAGGCAAGTAAAACTTTGAACACATTTCTTTACCCTCAGAAAGCGCAAAAAGGTTGTAGCATTCCCATACCTATTGAAAGTGATATAATTCAGATTGTAACACTTGTTCAGGATTCTGGGGCTCGTGTTGTTGAAATAAAGACATTCCATCTTACTAGGTGCCGTACATTGAAATATTTTCCTGTTAAATACCCCCCATTAAACATTATGTGTTTTACAAAATCGATAAAATAAAATATGTAAAATAGTACAGCAAGATATTTATAAATTATTTTACCCTGGCAACAAGCCATTAAACCTTATTTGAGAATGAAAGAAAAACCAAAAAGAACGACACCGACATTTTCTTCGGTTCTTGTTTTCTCTCTCACTTCTGTTAGCAACCAGATCTTCAAAAAACGAAAACAAAATCATTATAGGATCTCAGAATGTATATTAGGGCTGTCCAAGTTTATTCAAAACTCTACTGCATTTTTTTTTAATGTTTTTCTTTTCCGAAACAGTTAGAGTTGAACGCCACTTTGATGGAATACTGGATGAATTTCTAACCGTGGAAAAAGCACTTTGGGAAATTTTGTTTTTGGAAGACGTGTGTCTCTCTAAATATTTGTTCAGAGCTTTCGAAATTTGGAAACCCAGATTTTTCAGCAGTTTCTTAATTTCGTCCAAGGGTTTCAATGCCATATCTTCAAAACGCAGAAAAAGGAATTTTCCAGGAAATGCTTCTTGCAGTCGGTAAAAGCTGACAAGGTCGTCCCAGATCTCGTCACATAGCACAGTAATGTTAGAGCAGTTCGTAGGTCGACACCAACTGCGTGTTTTCCTTGAGCCATAGATTCCACGAGGATCTCGTACAAGATATACCACTCGGATATCCAGATCTGTGGCCTGTACCAACAAATTTTGAACGTAAGACAAAGGTAAACGAAGAACTTTCATTACGTGTACCTTTGCCTTATTACATACAGATGACATGACTTCCGACTTCGAACAGTTTTTCTGTTTTTTACAATGTTTCCACAGAAACCTATTATTTTTCAACATGTACGAATTTTCTTTTTTCTGCACGTACTTTAAGTACGTCTCATCAACATAATTACACCTAAACAGATTCAGAAGGTGATCTATTGCATCTAATGCACGTTTTCCATATAGCCTCGTGCTCAGAGTCATGTGATGAAGTGGCTCATAGTCGTAGAAGGTACTTTCAGATAAATGCTCTAATACTTCACCAGTAAACGTGCTTCCGGATCGTAAGTAGGTGATCAACAAAACATGAGTAGCTGTGTTTCGCGTCGAGACATTTTCCGCCTTATTTTCTGTAAAATGAATAATGTATCTAAGATAAAGGTAAATGATATTTATCTAACAAAGTACATTAATCGTAAATGACTAGAAAATCAGATTTCCGAACCATACAATAGAAAATTACCTGTGTTTTAACACACGGCTATTCAGCTTTATATTTTATACATAGAGTTTCACAACCTGCAAATGCTTCAAGTTTGATAGGTGTTTTACTTCGGTAACACTTTTAAGAGATGAGTTGTTTTATTGTGTGGAATTTCGATTTATTACAAATTCGGATACACTATAATTGTAGCAAGTATTTTCCATTCTTGTCACACACAACGTTTCGCACTCCTCACAGTTTACAATAAAATGATCTCAAACCAATATGTCGATAGACCATGCTATCGAGACCGAAATATGGTAAATATCAAAAAGACTGAATCAAGAATTATCGGTGCCCGAGGCCACTAATGGGACCATGTTTTTAATTTAAACATAATTTGTCGAAGAAATATCACGTAGAGTAAAACAACGACATGGAGACTAAAAATCAAGTGCTAATGTAATAACTTATGTTTTTTCATTCAGAATGTGTGAAAAATACACTTCGGCCACTTAAACCTTAATATTAAAATAAAACTTGTAAATAATACAAATGATCTTATTTGGCAAGTATACAGATGAAGAATGAGTATTCAAATAAGAACTACTGTCTTGAAAAGTTCCTTCAACACGAGTTTCAAGCCCAGCTGAAAAGTTCCTTCAACACAAGTTTCAAGCCCAGCGTTATTAGTTATCCTGCTTGTTAGTTTTTTGTAAGTTCTTCTAACATGCGTATGATGTCCTCTCTCAGTTGAGAAGTTCACCTCTGTATTGTAAAGACGCACGTGTTATATTCTAAAAGCAGGGTTGTAAATGTAATGAATACTCTTAACATACAGATAAATTATTGAGTAATTTCTGTGTCCGCCAGAAACTACAGAACTGAACCTTGGTTGAACAAGATCAGTGAAATTAACAATACGTATATCGTTTAAAGCTGCTAATCCTCGGATCACAAAACGTCCTGTACATTACTAGTTTAATTACTTTGTTAAGCACAACATATCGTTAAAGCTGCAAGTTATCAGACTACAAACGTTCCTGTACATTACTAGTTTAATTACTTTGTTAAGCACAACATATCGTTAAAGCTGCTAGTTATCAGACTACAAACGTTCCTGTATATTACTAGTTTAATTACTTTGTTAAGCACAATATATCGTTAAAGCTGCTAGTTATCAGACTACAAACGTTCCTGTACATTACTAGTTTAATTACTTTGTTATTTGAAATTTCACTTGACATTATGCGAACTTCTAGATGAATAGTCTGTCTGTCCTTTCCTTAAAATTGAATTACATATATAATAATTTATTTATTTATTTCAGACACTAAAACTCTAAACTGGGGATAATTAATCAGTGACCGTTTCTATTGTTTCCTGAAGTCTAAATATAAAAAAATAGAAAAGATTAAAATTCATTCTGAGGACAACAACAACACTAAGAATTAACAAAACAAATTAATTTAAAAATCTGCCAAAAAGCTCGTGTGTTTTCGCAGAGATGCCTCTTTTTTCCATTAACAGCAAAAGAGTGTGAGTATCGTTTGCTTTTGATTAAAAAAGAACATTCAATTTTTTGTTGTTTTTCTTGGTATTACTATCTTTCAAACGCATATATAAAACATTAAGTTTTGTATATTATTTCAATTTTCTGCAAATGTACTTGTTAATTATATTCAAACTTGGGGATACTTCCTTACTCAAGTTCTTTCCCTTCTAATAACGATAGAAAAAGTACTACCTTCATCATATCCAAATTACATGAAGACTGTAATATAAATGGATCTACATCTTAAGTATGTCGTACAATAATAAGATTTGGATTGCACTTAGCTGGGCCAATGTTTTTCGCATTGTCAATTCTATCCAGGATACGGTCGTTCGATCGGTTAAAGCTTTATCCCCCTGAAGGTGTAAATATTGAAAATGTTGTTTACAAGAAAGTTGCGTTCACAACTTTCTAATATGAATTTATATAGTCCTAAATTTTAGAACGTGGCTTGAAATACCACAACTCTAAGTAATGTGTCGAATTTGGACACGTTCCACGAGCAGAATATCATTTGGGAAAAAGGATGTCTGTCCATCTAATAAGTATGAATATAAAGAGTTAGAAAAGAAAAAAAGAAATGCTCAAAAAACAATTATATGTATAGTGTAAGGACAACTGAGAGTGTGTATATGTGTTGTTAAAATTTAATGATTTTTAATTTTTTTACTGAAAAACGTTTAACTAATAATTTTCATGTAATGCTGTAGCATCAAACTGATGTTTCAAAAGCTACTTTTCAGTGTACTGTCTGTGTCGTTTTATTTAAATAAAAGATAAGGAATGAAGATCACCTCGGTAAATCGTATAGTTAATTAAACATTCTTACTTATAAAGATTAGAATGCATTGTTTCATCAGTTGGATACATATGGTGTTAACGACATTTTCGGCCGTAAACCCAATAACATCTGAACATTTTCGACCAACAGGTTTTGGTTAATCTTAAATACATATATTAAGCTAACAGTCTCTATAATAAAGATAACAAAATCTTATGTATTAAGCACATTCTATACAGTATAGTAATGAAAGTAAGACTGAAGAAAGAGTTATGTCATCATATCGAGATTTGTTTTACCAAAATAATTATTAAAAAACCTGTATATATATATATATATTTAGTATTACATGATGGAAACATATTAGCTTCAATATCGTACGTACCTGGGAACGGGTATACAAATTTGAATTGTGTTTTATGGTAGCTTAAGTTCCAGTCGAGTTGAGAAAAACAAAAGCAAATTACAATGGTAATCGATACCAACGAGAAAATTTTCCATATCATGTTTTTGCAGGAGCTGAAAGAGGACAATATTTTCATTATTGAATTGACAGCACATTCTCAAATTCAAACGTACAAAAGACATAGCTCGGCAAGGATTAAACAAAGAGATAAACATAAACTTCAATAAAGATGATAATTGCAAAAATGTTTCGTAAGAATTGTTTCTCTGGTGTATTCTGCTTCTAATGAGTACCATAATTAACACAGATAAACTCACTGTGGAACTCTGCGCTAAAACAAAACAAACCATAATCATAACAACTATTGTACTTCGCATTCTCTGACAGGTTTAAACATTGTTATTAATGTTCCAGATATCTTTTGGATTTTCAAAGAAAACTTAATTTCAGACTATTCTGAATAATAAAAATGTTGAAAATATCAGCTAAATTACGTCATAGCACGTGTCATGAAAAATGATCGATTTTGTCAAATAACAGGCAAATATATATCGTCATAAATCTATTGCTATTTGCTCTGAACTTGATTTATAACAACTGTAATAACAATGAAACTAAAAATCATAGTATTAGTGTTCAAATATGGGCAGCTTTTATAACGACATGAATCCTTAATTTCACAAAAAGTTTACACATTACGTAATGTTACGCATTTGGTTCCATAGATATACTTTCGTTATTCCGAAACATGTTGTGTCAGTTATTTTCTAATTCTCTCTGAAACTCCGTTTTTAGCGATTTTTCAAAGCTGTTTCGTTTTGTTATTTTGTTCCCGAATACCCCATGAAGAGAGACAAAGGTTCAAGAGAAGATAAGAAAATGTACAACCAGGTGTATCTGAAGTACTGAAGCTACAAGCAACACTTAAACGAATAGATTATTTGTAGATTAGGTATTATTAGCTCTATAACTGATTACATTTACATGATACAAATACTATCAGAAAAATATTAACAAATCCCATGGCTTCAATATTTTCGAAATAATTTATATTAATTTATTCAACCTACATAACATTATTTTGCCTCTGTTTTGATAATTGACCAAATTTCAGCTAAGGTTTGATTTTTATATCAATCTAAGGTTTCTTTTGTCGTACTTCACGTTGTGTACAGGACTAAATATGGAACATTTCCGTTCTATGGTGCCTGCTTTCTGATTAGTTAGATACGAAGTCAATGTATATTCTAATTACAGGTCAGCCACACACAGGTGTATATTGTGAATGCCAGCGTCACCTATAGCCTGGCATGTATTGTATTGCGAATAATTAGTCAGCTACAGAGACTGTGAATTCAGCTTTGTCACGTTCACATCAAATTCCGTCCATCTTTTGAGAAAAACAGTTCGTTCCCTGATTGTGAGAGTCAAAATTCACTGTAAAACTTCCGTTTTTATTTCACCGCATTTTCTACCTGCCGATCGTACACATTTGATTTGTGTGTTTTGTCTCTCTGTCTTTCTCGCAATGAAATAGTCATCATTATTATAAGCATCTACTCCTTTGTTTTTATTTTAAATAGAGTAGCTTATTTTATTAACTTTCCAATACCGTGTCTTGTCACTGTCATTTTATTTATAACAAATTCCCACATATCATATCGCGAGACATTCAAAATAGTTATTAAGAAACAAACCCAAGATAAAATTTAATCAAACAAACCACATACCAACTAACATTAATGCAAGTGTACAAATACCAATATTTCTATGGTCTTGTAAAATACTTTAGCCCAAAGGTTTTGTCGAAACGTTGTACATTTGCTGTTATGTTAAACTTATATTGAAGTTTTTCTTCATTACCCATTCAAGCCGTCTCCAGCCATTATTAGTCTCGAAGTGGGTTCCTCGTTATCGAATTTGAATTTACCAAGTATAAGTAAAAAAAAGCACATCAGAATGATAAGAAGTCTGCCAATAAACATAACAAATAAGGAAATCGAAGAAGAATTAAACTCTTAAAATATCACAACAACAACCTGTGCTATAATAACAGTCCACAAGAGTACGCCTGGATTTACAAAACACAGCTAAAAATGTGATATGAAACGTAGTACATCTGTGGTGCAGATATAACATGGTAGTACATCAAAACACTTTCTTCCTTTCAGATTACAACACTTTATTCCTTCCAGATCATTGTACTTTATTCCTTCCAGATCATTATACTTTCTTCCTTCCAGATCACTGTACTTTCTTCCTTCCAGATCAAAACACTTTCTTCCTTCCAAATCAAAACACTTTCTTCCTTCCAGATCACAACACTTCCTTCCTTCCAGATCATTATACTTTCTTCCTTTCAGATTACAACACTTTATTCCTTCCAGATCATTATACTTTCTTCCTTCCAGATCAAAACACTTTCTTCCTTCCAGATCACAACACTTCCTTCCTTCCAGATCATTATACTTCCTTCCTTCCAGATCAAAACACTTTCTTCCTTCCAGATCAAAACACTTTCTTCCTTCCAGATCATTATACTTTCTTCCTTCCAGATCAAAACACTTTCTTCCTTCCAGATCACAACACTTTCTTCGTTCCAGATCCTTATACTTTCGTTAACTGTTTCAAACAGTCAGTCGAAATACATCTCAGGATCCAAAACATATTTACAGATTAATTCCCACAAGACAACAACACAAATACCTTGTAACGTATCACTTCAAATAAATCATATCTGAGATTTTACGCGTCACTAAAACATTAAAAAACACTTGAGAAGACAGTATTCCAAGTATTTGTTTCAAACAATGATTTAAATGCGAGCAGTGTGTCCGAAGTCTTATAACGCTAAAAATCTGGATACGATACTTGCTTGAACAGACAAACATCTGGTCGACTCACGGAAACAGCAGTAAAAAATTTAAATACTTGAACAGACAAACATCTGGTCCGACTCACGGAAACAGCAGTAAAAAATTTAAATACTTGAACAGACAAACATCTGGTCCGACTCACGGAAACAGCAGTAAAAAATTTAAATACTTGAACGGACAAACATCTGGTCCGACTCACGGAAACAGCAGTAAAAAATTTAAATACTTGAACAGACAAGCATCTGGTCTGACTCACGGAAACAGCAGTAAAAAAATTAAATACTTGAACAGAAAAACATCTGGTCCGACTCACGGAAACAGCAGTAAAAAGTTTAAATACGTGCTGTTGCATTTAAGCTACTTTTCCTGATGGTCGGACTCAGTTGGGCGGGATGAAATGAGATATAAATCGAAACTTCCTGAACTCGATTTAAGATAAACCTCTTATTTAAATTGGATCAATTAAAATTAAAGGTAACTATGTCAGTGTTCTGCTCCTTCTTTATATCCTGGTTAACGATTTAAACCTACCATGTGAAGTACAATCACAAGCATCTCAGAGTGAGATGACATATGGAGAGTAAAACTCCCAGAAAACACAATACAATTGAATACTAGGAAGACGATGAAATGAAATAATACATCAGAAACTGCAACAACAAATAGAAACAGTAAAATTCCTAGACATTTCATACGACAACAGGTTCACATGGACTAAGCGTACTGATGACATTATAATTAAATCCACATCTCGCCTTAATATCCTAATACTTCAACGTACATTACAAATCAAAACTAAACTTAATATATATAAAACTTTTAGTACATTACACCTTAGAATATGGATGTACAACTTTACTAAACACATCAGTCTAAAATTACCTTAACCTACAGAGAATCCAAAACAAAGCCATCAGAACAATAACTAAACCACTCAGATAAACACACAAATCAAAGAACTACACAGACGAACTAAACTCCATTACATCAAACACGGGTTCTTTAAATTAGAAAACAATCTGTTTTTTTTTTTTTTAAAAAAATTTAACACAGAAACAAGTTAACCTCTTCCTTTTAACTATGAAATAACATACCTCTTGGGTGGCAAAGAATCCTCACACTTCATGACTTGTGTCAACAACAATAGAACCAACAATAGAGTTTTTATGCAAAAAGTGATAACTGAATCATGGGTATAATGATTGTTACAGATGAAGGCGAGATACTTAGCATGAAGCGATACACCCCAGGAAATTTAGCATTTTATATTTCTAACAGCAATTTATTTTAGGTTTGGAATATAAAGAAAGGATATAACACAACATACAGAAAATTAACACTATATAAAAAATGCGTGTTTACTCGTCGAGTGTCTGTGGACCGTTAAATGTACGCAACGTTTTCCAGATTCCTTTGAATGATTTTTATAAAACACGGCAGGAATACTTAAGAATGACAAAATGTTTCAACAGAAGCTGTACTATAGTAGTAATTATACGTTAGACAGGAAAACTAACATCAAATAGGAGACACGGGTGATATGCTAATATACACCATATGTTGTCATGTACCATACACCTGTGCAAATTTTAACGTTTTTATGAATCGGGAATACAACTGACAAATATTTTAGTCTGATAACAAGATGGTGGCAAACCATATTCTATAAGCTACACTTTTCGTGGATTCCAAGTCACAATATAAAAACAGTGGTCTTCTTACTACCTTCGATCTCAGAGGATCAGTGAATATCTCAGAAGATCAGTGATTATCTCAGAGGATCAGTGATTATCTCAGAGGATCAGTGATTATCTCAGAGGATCGGTGAATATCTCAGAGGATCGGTGATTATCTCAGAGGATCAGTGATTATCTCAGAGGATCGGTGAATATCTCAGAAGATCAGTGATTATCTCAGAGGATCAGTGATTATCTCAGAGGATCGGTGAATATCTCAGAGGATCAGTGATTATCTCAGAGGATCGGTGAATATCTCAGAGGATCAGTGATTATCTCAGAGGATCAGTGATTATCTCAGAGGATCGGTGAATATCTCAGAGTATCAGTGATTATCTCAGAGGATCAGTGATTATCTCAGAGGATCAGTGATTATCTCAGAGGATCGGTGAATATCTCAGAGTATCAGTGATTATCTCAGAGGATCAGTGATTATCTCAGAGG